TGCTGTAATTGCTGCAAATGGAGGATTCTTTGACGAAAGCAAAGTTTGAAGGAAAAAATTATTATTTCAAATACAAATCATTATTTCTAACCTTGTCAATGTCTTTACTATATTTTCTATTCATTTTACAGCTCATGGTGGTAAATAAAAGTGTGACTTTAATGGAAAACACAAAATTGTCTGGGTGACCCCAAACTTTTGAACGGTAGTGTATGTATGTGTACAGTATATATGTACCTTATGTGTATATGTTTATATGTATGTATATATGTATGTGTATATATACATATGTATACATACAGTATATACGTGTGTATATATATGTAAGTATATGTGTATATATATATATTTATGTGTATATATATGTGTATATATACAGTATATGTGTTTATATATATATTTGTGTATATATGTATGTATATATATGCATATATGTATGTGTATATATACATGTATGTATATATATATACGTAGGCACGTATATGTATATACTGTGTGTGTGGAATCAGATGGAAATGAGACGTTTTTGTTGAAATGGCTTCACTTTTGGTCTGCTCTGAGAAGCAGTGGAAAGATGATATGTATATTTATTTGGTTTAGATATGTTAGGTTTGTCGTTGAAACGTGCTCACGTTAGTTTGTCGTTCGTCAGCTCCTTTACTCGCTGGTACTCCAGAGTAACTTTCCAAACCCCCTCTGAAGAACTCATCCGTGGGTTCCGAGTTTCTTTCCTGGCCGCACTGCAGAAATACCACGAGGTACGGACGTCCGCGTAACCACCGCACAGAGGTCAAAAAAGGTCACAACGTGTGACCTCAACCTGTAGATTAGACGTCCATCTGGAGATCTTTAAAAAAAAAAAAAAAAAACATCTGTCATTTGTATTCCCCAACACGCCGGCCTCAGGTGAACCACACCCTCCCGGAGAAGATCGTGGTGTATCGGGACGGCGTGTCCCAGGGTCAGCTGAAGATGGTGGAGCAGTATGAAATCCCGCAGCTGCTCACCTGCTTCAACATCTTCCCCAGCTACGCACCCAAACTGGTCTTTATCGTGGTGCAGAAGAGAATCAACACCATGCTGTACTCCTGGGTGGAAAACAACTTTGTGGCGCCCCCTCCTGGCACCATCTTGGATCACACCCTGACTGAGAAAGACTGGTGAGTCATCACAGGACTAGTTAATCTCTAATCGAGTCACCAGTCGACTCTTACTCAAGTTGATGAAACCACATTTTGACTTTTGTTCGTTTTTCTCGTTTCCATATCGTGGATCTTCTCTGACTCAGGGTGGACTTCTACCTCGTGGCTCATCACGTCCATCAGGGCTGTGGACTTCCAACTCACTACGTCTGTTTGTACAACACAGCCAACCTGACACCAGACCATTTGCAAAGGTACCGGTATCGATCCGTCTCTCAGTACCGATGCCTTTGCGTCCGAGATTTGATACTTGGTAGAACCCTCGTACAAATGTCATTTGATTGGCTTCAGGTTGATGTTTTCTTACACACAATTTTTTTTTCTTCCCCGTCTAACACCAGACTAACCTACAAGATGTGTCACTTGTACTGGAACTGTCCCAGTATCATTCGCGTACCAGCACCGTGCAAGTACGCCCACAAACTGGCCTTCCTGTCGGGGCAGTACCTGCACACAGAACCAGCCATCCAGCTAGCGGACAAACTGTTCTTCCTCTGAGCCGCCGCCGCTAACACCGACGCAACGTCCAGACCTCGGCCGGAGATCTGTTATCCAGAAAGACACAAAAAAAAAAATTCACTGAGTTCTGATTGTAGACTGGTCATTGTGACCTCTGACTTCGGCAACATCGTTATTGCTGAGACGTTTTTTTTTTTTCGACGGACGTTGATTTTATTTTATCATTTATATTTTAAATAACGCCAAAAAAAATATTTTATTACACAGGAACAGGTTAGCTTCGTTTTATTATTTTTTCTTAAGCCGCTAAAGAAAATGTTTAACAATTCGACGATAAAGTTCTAAAGATCTGTACACCAGTTTGTTTCTTTTTAATACCAGCGCACCATGTTACTAGCTGGTGGATTCCGACACCACCTGGTGTTCGCCGTGATGTCTTTTAGTTGTTTGTTTGTTTGATTTTTTATTAAAAAGTGTAAAATGTACAGATATATTTCATACATTGTGTGCGGCGAAGATGCTAACGTCTGACGTTCTGCTGCTTCTTTATTTGGAACAAATACGATATTGTTTGTTTAAAAAAAAAAGTGTGTGTTTAAATGAATCGGCTGTTAATAAACAGTTGGTCAGTGGACCTAAAAATGGTCTTTGTGTTTTAATCATCACATCATCAGCACTCAGATTTTACCACTGGTGAGTGACGTCATCGTGTTACCCGACGGTGCCGTCGAAATGACCATTTCGCCAATTTATAAACCGTTGAATTGCAAAAAAAAGTTTGAATTTCTTTGCGCTGAAGATTTAGGTCGGAAACAAATTCAAAGTTTCTTAATCAAATGACAACTATCGGCTACGCTATCCTGAAAAATAGCGCAGTAAGTTAAGTTTTATTTTCCGTCGGTTTATTATGTATATTAACAATAGCTTTTGGTTACATTTAATTTGGTCTGTGTGGACGAGGGCGAACCCTAGCGGTGAGACCCATTGGACAATAACATTTTCTTTTTTTTGTTGTTTCTTTTTTTTTTTGCCGCTGAATGAACAAACAAAATGGCGTTAATGAAGTCACTAACAACTAGTCTTTATAATGGTACGTTTTCCACGTTAAAACACACGGACGTGTCTTTTTTTTTTTTTTTTGCTCCGGGACTGTTAGCGTAAACAGCTGCAACAGGAAGCACGAGCACTTTCACCGGAAACGAGGCACAGCAGCAGCAGTTGTTGTTGCTCGAGAGCTGCTGCTGTAATGGCGGTGTCTCGTCGCTCGTCGCAGCAGAGCGCCCTGCAGTCTCCGCCGAGAAACGGCTCTCTCTCGGCCGCACTCCCGGCCTCAGCGTCGATGTCTCTAATCCCATCGGTCGTCGCTAGCCCTGAGAATGAAAAAGAATGTAGCGGAGTCACGGAGATGGCCCTGGCCTCCCCAGACCTCACAGCCCCGGTCCTAGCGAGCAGCGCCAGCTCCACTAGCTCAACCTCTGGCAGCAGCGTCGTTCCCAGCCCCGGCTCTGGAGCTAACAGTCCCAGCGAAGGCAGCAGTGGCGTCGGCGGGGCGTTCAGGGAGTTGTTCGAGGCCTGTCGTAACGGAGACGTGTCCAGGGTGAAGAGGCTGGTGGATTCGGTCAACGTGAATGCGAAGGACATGGCCGGTCGGAAATCGACTCCGCTTCATTTCGCTGCGGGTAACGGAAAAAAAAGCAGTGTAGCCACGATACAGTTCTGTGTGTGTGTGTGTGTAGCCATCTTATTTTAACGGAGCTAATCCGCTCCTTTACCCTTTAGTACGAAGCTTCACGGCTATTTTAAAAACACGATATTTGCGTTGTTAAAGTTGTTGACTATCACGATGACAACGTGTAACGATTCTAATGACAAGTTGCCGTTCCTAAATTTCACTAAATTGTTTCTGTAAATAAATATAGAAGTTCGCGTTTGTTATTCGTTCAACGCGTTTTAATTTAAAAAAATATTTACAATGACAATCGTCGCATTTTAAGAATTGCTCGCGTCAGCTAAAGCTAACTTGGCAAATGATTAACGAATATTTTTATCAGTAAATTATTAAAGTGACTATTTTGATGTTAGTCAAATTATATTATTAAACGTTAACTTAGCAATGGGTTTTTTTCTTTTTTTTTTATCATGTCGAACGTGTCTTCCTTTCCTGCAGATGGTGCTGTGTACCAATCTGTAGCTTAGGGTCTTACGGCTTAACGTGCCCCTCCCCACGGGATTTTATCAGTTTATCATTAAATATGGACCGATTTGTTACGAAATATCGCTATAGCACAACGTCATCAGGACTTAGATTCATTCGTCCGTGTGATTGGCCAAACGGATACACAAACACAGTTTTCTTCACCTTCTCCTCCAGGTTTTGGCAGGAAAGATGTGGTGGAGCACCTCCTGCAGACGGGGGCCAACGTTCACGCCCGGGACGACGGCGGACTCATCCCCCTGCACAACGCCTGCTCCTTCGGCCACGCCGAGGTGGTCAGTCTCCTCCTGTGTCAGGGCGCAGACCCCAATGCCAGAGACAACTGGAACTACACGCCGCTCCACGAGGCCGCCATCAAGGGCAAGATCGACGTTTGCATCGGTGAGGAGGAGCGACGCGTCTGCGATTACGCGGAGCGCGCGGGGGGAAACAAGCGAGTCGTCGTTTAACTGAACCGTGTCCTTGCCTCAAACTTTGTTTGTTTACGCAGTGTTACTTCAACACGGAGCTGATCCGAATATTCGGAACACCGACGGCAAATCTGCGCTGGACCTGGCCGACCCTTCGGCCAAGGCTGTTCTCACAGGTCAGTCACAGCGATGTCCGTTTGTAATGTTTTTTTAGATCTTAAAGTCCTGCTAGCGCTCAGGCTGAACACGATCTTCGTATCATCTTCTCCCCTCTACTAGACATTGCCCCCTGCTGGCGTGATCTTGGTGCCTTCATCATTAGCTAGTTGCAATTTTCCAAAAATGTATGTCTGTGATTACTTCTTGACTCAGATGGACAGGAGGCGACCAGTTTGGCTAATAACACTTAATTAACACTTAGTTAACAGTTAATTAACTTGCGTTGTTAAAGTTGTTGACTATCACGATGACAACGTGTAACGATTCTAATGACAAGTTGCCGTTCCTAAATTTCACTAAATTGTTTCTGTAAATAAATATAGAAGTTCGCGTTTGTTATTCGTTCAACGCGTTTTAATTTAAAAAAATATTTACAATGACAATCGTCGCATTTTAAGAATTGCTCGCGTCAGCTAAAGCTAACTTGGCAAATGATTAACGAATATTTTTATCAGTAAATTATTAAAGTGACTATTTTGATGTTAGTCAAATTATATTATTAAACGTTAACTTAGCAATGGGTTTTTTTCTTTTTTTTTTATCATGTCGAACGTGTCTTCCTTTCCTGCAGATGGTGCTGTGTACCAATCTGTAGCTTAGGGTCTTACGGCTTAACGTGCCCCTCCCCACGGGATTTTATCAGTTTATCATTAAATATGGACCGATTTGTTACGAAATATCGCTATAGCACAACGTCATCAGGACTTAGATTCATTCGTCCGTGTGATTGGCCAAACGGATACACAAACACAGTTTTCTTCACCTTCTCCTCCAGGTTTTGGCAGGAAAGATGTGGTGGAGCACCTCCTGCAGACGGGGGCCAACGTTCACGCCCGGGACGACGGCGGACTCATCCCCCTGCACAACGCCTGCTCCTTCGGCCACGCCGAGGTGGTCAGTCTCCTCCTGTGTCAGGGCGCAGACCCCAATGCCAGAGACAACTGGAACTACACGCCGCTCCACGAGGCCGCCATCAAGGGCAAGATCGACGTTTGCATCGGTGAGGAGGAGCGACGCGTCTGCGATTACGCGGAGCGCGCGGGGGGAAACAAGCGAGTCGTCGTTTAACTGAACCGTGTCCTTGCCTCAAACTTTGTTTGTTTACGCAGTGTTACTTCAACACGGAGCTGATCCGAATATTCGGAACACCGACGGCAAATCTGCGCTGGACCTGGCCGACCCTTCGGCCAAGGCTGTTCTCACAGGTCAGTCACAGCGATGTCCGTTTGTAATGTTTTTTTAGATCTTAAAGTCCTGCTAGCGCTCAGGCTGAACACGATCTTCGTATCATCTTCTCCCCTCTACTAGACATTGCCCCCTGCTGGCGTGATCTTGGTGCCTTCATCATTAGCTAGTTGCAATTTTCCAAAAATGTATGTCTGTGATTACTTCTTGACTCAGATGGACAGGAGGCGACCAGTTTGGCTAATAACACTTAATTAACACTTAGTTAACAGTTAATTAACACTTAGTTAACAGTTAATTAACACTTAGTTAACAGTTAATTAACACTTAGTTAACAGTTAATTAACACTTAGTTAACAGTTAATTAACACTTAGTTAACAGTTAATTAACACTTAGTTAACAGTTAATTAACACTTAATTATCAACGTGTCTATCTGTCATTGTTGTCGTGTTGATGTTTTTTTTTTTTTATCATTTTTTTAACTCAGGTGAATACAAGAAAGATGAACTCCTGGAGGCAGCGAGGTGAGTGGCAACAAAAGCTGTGACTATGACTGGTCGACCTGTAGGTGGCACTGCATTGTTTAGTATGGTTGGATAATCTGTCATTCTCTTTTTTTTTTTTCTTTTTTGTGTTTTAGGAGTGGAAACGAAGAGAAGCTGATGGCGCTGCTGACTCCGCTCAACGTCAACTGTCACGCAAGTGATGGCCGCAAGGTGACGACCTTTGACCTCATTACACATTTGTCGATTTTATAGGGAAACCCAACATGTGACAGAACATCGTTAGACCGTGACTGTGTTTAGGTGGTTGCTGGATTAGACAGTGCGTGTGTGGAACCCTGTGACTGATCT